GATCATAGCGCTCTGCATCAGCAGTGCTGCGTCTGACTCCCTGCCAGCTCCCAGATCAGCTTGATGCGGCGCATCCAGCAGCTAAACTTACATTTCTCCAACTCCAGCAGCTGCTGCTCTAGACGCTGAAGGACCTTTAGCTGCGCCTTAATGCGCATCAACCATTGACCTAACATGTAAACTAGCTGCTTCTTCTGCCTCTGCTGCTTGTGGTCTGAACGTACCATTCAACCTTTAGCATTTTAAATAAACACAACCACCCAGGATTGGACTCCAGGAAACTGCACTAAGGAGGGATTTATTTAATAGATCTGGAAGCAGATAATTTGCATAATGAGTCGAATCCTTTTCTTTCTCTGTGTTAGCGGACCGGTGAGCAGAGAGGCGGTCCAGCCGAGGTCTTAAGCGGGCGTCTGATGGTTATTCTCCTTCCTAACGGTGTTACCTAACATTTCACACAACGGATCTTTTAGACAAATCATTTTAATAAAACATCCTGGCAGACAAACCTCTCGTCTGATGGGCGCCCTGGACCTTACAAGGACTCCTCGGACACGAACACCCGCGTCCATGACAACGGAGAGCCGCTGGTCGTCCGACTGTACGTTCACCTGGAAACAGAAAGAGCATGGACTGTTAATGACCTCCTGATATCGTGAGTATCAACAGAAGAAGAACTGCTGTGCCCTCCCTTCCTCCATGACATCATCTCCATGAAGCACCGTCAACCACTGATCTCCATTTATTCACCGGGGGGTGCAACGATATCAGGAAGGAATAAAAAAATCCGATGACTGTGAAATGACCTGTGGAACGTCTTCCCAATACTTCACAGGTGGGCATTTTTACTGCGCGTCTCTGTGGGAGTGGGGAGTACCAATATGGCGGCCGGTGAATAAATAGAGATCAGTGTCGTCAACATAAACGGCAACCTTTACGTTCAAATAAAAACAGGAAGAGGTCAGGAGGTTTGATCTGCAGGAGTTTAGCCGTTAGCATCTAGTAGCTTTACAATCAGACACGACGGAACTCTTAACGATGGGATGTAGGTCTGGGGATTTAACTAGGCCGTTCTAGGAGGATTCTGCTTTGATCCTTCACCGCATTTCTGCCTGCATGTTTAAGGTCCAACCTCGGTCCAAAGTCTTCTGCAACCTGATGTGGTTTGATGCAGACCAAAAAAAGATGCGGTCTCATCTGACCTCAGCCTCCATGTTTGTCCTGTCAAACTGAAAGAATGACTCCAAGGTTCAAACTCTGGTTTAAGTTTAAGTTCACTTCCAACCGTGAGAAATCCTGATGAATCACTATTATGCTGCGGAGAAGTTCCTCAGGTCTGTGACCCGCCTGGACGATCAAACGGAGGCTTTTCTGTGTGTGTCCGAGCAAACGGAAACAGACTGCTGAGCATGGAGAGAGGAGGCAAAATATTTACAGTGAAACGGGAGGAAGTTTTCCCATGAAACCCAAACCTCTCCTTTGAGGTGCGATCCAGAGCGGTCGGCTGAGTCAAGATGCGGGCAGGTGGGGCGTCTGAGTCCGTCCTGCATCCTGAGCGGCTGCTGGGGAACAACCGGCGCAGTCAGCTTCCTCTGCTGCTCCACGACCTCCTGCTTCCCTCACTGCTCTGAATAAGAGCCAAACCTCAGCTATGCGCAGCCTCAGGTTCAATCAACGGAAGACGCCAAAGTCACGCCATCTTCATTCAAGGCATGAAGTTAAACTTTCACACCAATGCAATCAGTGATTTTGAGCAAATCTATCAATGCTCAGGAGTTTTGAACCTCACAGCGAAAGCAAAAAAACTTCACCTGAACTGGGCAGGTTGCCATGGAGACGGAGATACATAGGGTCAAGGGAGAGGGGCGGAGCTTAAGTAACACCTGACAGTCGTTCTGGATTCGCCTTTCAAGGATTAAGGATCGTTTTCTGGTAGCAGCAGGAAAAACTGCCGCCGTTGATTTGAAATATTAAAGCTTTCACAGCCTGGGCGCTCATCGCCACACCCAGTGTGACATCACCGCCGCTGACAGCAGGAAGCATGATGGTGACAGGGCGAGCCAACACAAGGCCTCCAGCAGGACATCGTCTGTTTGCTGATTTCCACAAACGTTTTACTGAACCGTCTCTGTGTGATGATGAAGCTCCTCTGTTCTCTTTAAGGTCAGTTTCAGCTCACTTTGCCTTCTGGATG